AGTTTGGATGGTTTGGGTCGGATTCATGCCTAACCAGGATGCTGAAAGCCTAGCCAGTGATGGCACCGCCTGGTGAACAGCACCCCAGGAATTCTAGGCGGTGGTACCGCCTAATGGCAGGGTGCTAGGCGGTGGCATTGCGCCTATTAGGCGGTGGTACCGCCCAGTGTCAAACTGACACCAATGATGGTACCGCCTAACACAAGCAGTGGTAACGCCCGTACCCAAGAAACTCGGGATGAGATGTTTTTAGGCTCCAAGTTTGAATCAACTTGAGGCCTATAAATACCCTTCTCATCCCTGGTTAAGATACACAAGACTTGAGAGTGAAAAAGAAAGAAACGCTGCTGTAATCTTGTGTGAACTCCTCTTAAAGTTCTAAGTGTTAGAATAATTTGAGAGAGGAGTGAGTGAGGGTATAAGGGTTATCTCCTAAACCCGGTAAAAGGAGAATCGAGTTTTAAAAGGTTGTTGGTCTTTGCCTATTGAAGGAAGACCGATAGTGGATGCCGGTGGCTTCGACGGAAGAGGAATCGGCGGAGTGAATATAGGTCATGACGATCGAACCACTATAAAAATCTGATTTGCGTTTCCTTCTTAGAATTTACTTTTATAGCAAACTGTCTTTTCTCCTTACTGTGCTTTTACTATGCCTATGCTTACGAACAAGCATTGAACTTCAAGTTATCTTCTGAGTTTGGTTTTTATTGTATGAAACATTTTTAGAACTGATGTTTTTACCACTACACTAATTCACCCACCACCTCTTAGTGCCGACTCGTTCCTAACATTCCCAACATTTATCTTCTCCTAGACCCAATGATTCTAAAGTACCTCAGTTTGACCTAGCCCGAACATAACCTAATAATCTCATAACCCTTAGGCATCCAATGATAACACACTAAAAAAATGATATTTTTAAACTGTATAAAGTCCTTGACCTTCATACTATCACAAAATCCTTACCTAAAACCATTGAACCCACCATAATTACTCAAGCCCAAAAGTCTTCACATGACTCTATATGAACCTTTGTACCCTTGTACCCTTTCATCACACACAAAATATCATCGAGTGTAAGTGGATTTTGAGAATTAAGCGGAACCCAAATGAATCCATTGCCAGATATAAAGTACGACTAGTAGCCAAAGGGTTTCATCAACGACCTGGTATTGGCTTCATAGAGACATTCAGTTTGGTTGTTAAAACCATCAAAATCCAACTTATCTTGAGTTTGGTCATCATAAAAGGTTGACACTTATGACAATTGAATGTTAACAATACCTTTTTATGGAGAACTCTAACTAAAGACGTCTTTATACAACAATCTCTTAGCTTCATCTATCCTTAACATCCAAGGCATGTTTGTAAATTATAAAAAGCTATTTATAGACTTTGTCAAGCTCCAAGAGCTTGGTACACCAAACTTGCTCGCTTTTTATATTAATTGGATTCATCAACTCCAAATCTAATGCCTTACTATTTCTAGGGTAACAAAATGGAGGTACAATATATCTTTTGATGTATGTGGATGACATTATTACTATGGGCAATAATCCTATGGAGATCAAGGTTTTTTCCTCAAGCAATTGGCAGATTGATTCTCTCTCAAAGATTTAGGAACTTTAAGTTACTTCATGGCAGTGGAAGCAACATTTATATCTTCGGGACTCTTCCAATCGCAAAAAAATATATTTAAGATCTATTATTAAATATGAATATATAAGAGGCTAAATAGGTTACAACTCTCCTCTCTACTAGTGAATCACTCAAATTATGTGATGGAAGCCCTCGGATCCTACTCAATACCGACAAATACTTGATTCTTTATAGTACTTAGCTCTCATCCATCCAGACATCACATTTGTAGTCAATAAATTATCATAATTTATGCATCGACCATCTATTATATATTGGTCTGTACTCAAACGAATTTTGCAATATCTTAAAGGGACCCTTAATCAAGGCTTCTTTCTCTGCAATCACTCTCCACTTCATCACTATGCCTTTGTCGATGTTGATTGGGTAGAGAACTTTAATGATATAACATTCATGTTGGGGTATATTATTTTCCTTGGAGCTAATCCAATCAATTGGAGTTTTGAGAAGCAAAAGATAGTCACACGGTCTACAATTGAATTTGAATACCGAGATATCGCCACCACTATTATAGAACTCAATAGGATCACGAATCTGCTAAAAAACTTGACATCAACTCTATCCCTACTGATACAATATATTATGATAATATTAGAGTCATTTACGCATGTGTCATTCTAATATACCACTCACATATAAAATATTTTAAATTATCTAATATTCTAATATTCCAAAATTT